TAAATATATAAATTATATTTAAATATTGAATAAATAGACACTTTTAAATATATAAGTTATATTTTTAAATTTTTTATAAATAATTTATATTGTAGCACAAAATTATTTTTATTTATTTATAATTTATTTTAAATATATTAAAATTTAACTCATAAATAATTATGATAATAAAAATCGAATTTAAAAATTTCTAAAATTTCTTTCATTGATTTTTTTTTATTTTAAAAATACTCTTGCATAAGATAGTCTTTCATGTTTTATATATGATGGTTGATTTTCACATGTTAAACTATTTGCCTTAAATTACTTTAAAATATGAATTGTTATATTTTTTTTAAAATTTTTTATATAATAATAATTTAAATATAAATATATTTTTATTACTTCCTCATTTGGACTTATTTAATTTATTGAATGTTTTGTTTTATTTAACACAAAAGTATGAAATAAAATATAAAAAATGATAATGATATTTTTCATGAAATTAGACAAAAAAAATTAAACTTAAGTCATAAAGAGGAATGAACATTTTTTTTATTAAAACAAGTAAGAAAATTTACACTTAAATTTGACAGGATAAACAATTACTTAATATCATATTAAAATATAAATTATTACGATGATTTTTTTTAATAATTTTATAACAATTTTAAGATAACTTCATTTGTTTGTTGCTTACAATCTTTTGACTTAACTAATTTAATATTTTTTTTAACGAACCAAGTTTTAATTTAATGAATTTTCTTTATCTTATACAATATTGAGAGTTATTTACATTCATAAGTGAAAAAATAATATAATTTAACATAAGAATGAAAAGTGATAAAATGTTAGGGTAATTAATATTAACATTTATTTTAGTAAACATTAATCGAACTTTAACCAAAAAAAAAAAAAAAACTAATGTCATATATTAAAATATGTTGAAAGAGTAGAGTATATTTATTAACATAATATAGGGAAGATCCAATGTTGAACTTTCTGTGAGACTGAATCAAGAACAAAGACAAGAAGGACAAGAATGATTGTAGGAGGAGGGTCAAAAAGCATCAATTAAGAATAATCAAAGGGGAAGATTAAGCGAGGAACATGATCATCAATGACAAAAGATAACATGCAGTTGATATGATAACAGACTGACAAAACAACATTCCCCTTAAAACTAAGATGGAACATTGTCATGGAAAAGAAGTGTTTGCATAGTGTTAATGAGATGTCAACTTTTGAGTTTAGGGACCCCGTTTTGTTGAGGAGTACGAGCAAATGACATTTTTTTAAGAATAATGTCAGATAATTAAAGGTATGGAATTATTAGCAGTACTCATTGGCATTATCACTCCGTAAAGAGTGAATAATAAGGACACCAAATTGTTTTAATCACTTGATAAAAGTGCTAAAAAATTAGTGAATAATTTAGACTTATTCTCCACTAAAGATAACAACGTATACAACCGGAGACATCATTGAAAAAAGTAATAACATATTTGGACCTAGTAGTAATAAGGATACAAGGATTCCAAATGTCATAATGGACTAAAAAGGGGAAGATGCCCATTTATTACTGCAATCAAGAAACTGATTATGGGCATGTTTTCCTGGTTGACACAAGTAAATTGGATAACTTTGGAAAGATAGGTACCATCTTTTTAAGTTTGGGAAGATGGGGAATAAAAGTTTTATTACCATTTATATAGTCAGACACCTTAGACTCTAGAACCTAAAAAGTAAGGGAAGTAGATGGAGATATGCAAGCAAATGAATTAAGGGATGACAAAAATACTCGCATCCGCGAGTATTTGTGGGTAAAATTTGTTATAGATAATAAATGGGTAGGCTAATTGGATACCCATGGATAATAGGGACGAATAAAATTTTACCCGTTTATAAACAGGGCGGGGGCGGGTATGATGATATCCATACCTGCGGATTCCTGTTTAATAATATTTCTTAAATATAATAATTATACTTGTAAAAAATACAAATAAAAATACTTTCTATAATATTATTTTATTAAAAAAGTGAGGTTGATGAAGTTAAAAACATGTGTTAAAAATATTATAGAATTATGTTAGATGTAATTTGATTAATTTTCTAGCTTTGATTGAACCAATAATATTTATGTATTTTAAGTTGTTTACTTTCGCTTAGAATTATGAGATTGAATTATTGTAGCTTTGTGATGAGACATTAACTTATTTGTGAGATTGATGTATTTTAAGTTATTGATTATCTTACATTTTTATTATTATTTCAACAAAATTAACGTCAAATACAAGTTTAAAATTAATATTAAATTTTTATTTTTAATATTTCAATGACATTAAATATAAAATTAAAATTATTTGTAATATATTTTTTTAATTTTTTAAAAAATTTATAAATATCCATGAATATCTGTGGGTATTCAAGAAATTCATGAATACCCGCTTAATAGATATTCGCATGAATATGAAGTGGATATAAGATCAATTTTCATTTAGCAAAGCAAGAACGAGTTTATTATTACCTTTCCTATAGGACCTCGTTGCCATCCTAATTACCAATGTTTGAAACCAAAGCTATAGAACCAGAGGAAGCTATTTGCCAAAAAGTCACTGGAAAGTCAGGTGGCAACAAAATCAAAGTGGCAAATTGGAACGGTTGCCAAAAATAATTGTCACTATGGACAATGGATCCACAAGGATGGTGCCATATTGAAAGTTTCCTCAACTTGATTTTATATCATTTTAGAATATAAACATCGACCTAATTTAACTTTATAAAATTAATTAATTTATAAAATAAGAATTATTTCTCACTTATATATATTATTTAAGTCATATTATTATGATTTTGAAAATTAGATTGAAATAGTTATTGAATCCATTCAATCGGACATCAATTTTCAATCGATTCGGTTGGTTTTTAAAATTATTTAACAACGAAACAATCAAAACATAAAAAATCAGTTGAACCAGTTCAATTAAAAAGATATATTTAAAATTTAATGTAAAATATTTTTAATAAAAATACATATTTAAAAAATTATAATTTTGTATAACTTATTTTTAATACTTGTCTTATAAATATAATTTAATTATTTGTGTTAATTTTTTATTTTTAATATTTTTATTTTCACAATTTATTTTATATTAACTTGATAGCATTTATTCTAAATGTAAATTTATTATTATTTATAATAAATATTGTTATATTTTATCAAAATTTTCTTAACTATTATATCACATTAAATGTGGAAAAATTACAAATAACATTTTATTATAATTTTTAGTGTTATAAAATTATAATATTATATTTATTTAATATTATTTTTGTATTGATGATAATAATAAAAAAATTATTATTATCTGTTTGATTATGGTTTAAATATTGAACCTTGAACTAATATTTAGACCAATTCAATGATTAATTCAATTTTAAAAGCATTACATATCATTATTTAATATGAGATATTGAACATTTTGAATTTCAATGACTTTCCCTTCGAATAAATTGTTGAAATTTTCTTAGTACATCTCTATACTATAGAAAACTCATCTGACCGGATAATGTCAACATATGAGATGCTTTAATATGTCAAACAATAACTTTTAAAAAATACATCAAAATTATTATCGTAATATTAAAGTCTAAAATTTGGGGGAAAAAATAGATATAGAATTACAAAGTAAAAAATTCACGTAGCAAATATATATACTAATGACAATGTAAGAAAGCATTTGAAAGTATATCATAACAATCTTCTTCACCAATGTACTCCATACCAGCAAATCAAAATATTTCATTTGTAATGTGTATTGTTTCTTGGTCAACTCGCTTGAAAAACTTATCTAACATATAGTAATAAGAGTAAGAACCTATAACTATGGGCGGACATGAAAAATCAAGTGCATTGCTACTCTTTTCTTGGAGTCATAATAGACACATTCATATATTGAGAAGTTTTTCCTTTTCGACTTGATGTTGCAGGTGTCTTAAAGCTTTGTTGGTGTTAGATACGATCATGAAACAAAATTATCAATAGATTAGGTGTGTACTAAAACGGAAAAACATATAATACAATCAAGTTGATTCGTTATGTAACTAAAGTACCTATTACATCATTGAAAATCTATATATCATCACTAATTAGGACCTAAAGAGGTGCATCACCATCAAAATCAAAATCAATCACAACCATTTTATGATTATGGGACAATGGTTAACTATGTAATGTATCCGACTCGATGTTATATACCATCCCCTTAACAACTTAGTGAGTTTCATTGATACTAAAAAAACGAATGAACAAATTATCCATTTACCTAATAAAATAAGTACAGATATACAATAACTTATAGTGCATGTACTTCATTATTTAAGCAACTTAGTACTCCTTAAGGTTAAATAGCTACCTCTACTATATGAGTAGCCGTAGGTCTGCAACTATTTCTACCCCTTAGGCCACCCAAACCTTCTGCCTATGGCTCCTTATCCCTTTGCATTTGCATTTTCACTTGCAACTTAGACACTCGTTTTTCGAGGTCCTCTAAGTCATTGATTTGTTGCACTTGGTCATATGTAATAGATTGTGACCTTTGTTTGGGTGATACATAAGTCTTTTGCGTCACTTCAAATCTCACTCTTCAAGCACGATCTGGGCGCTCAGGGACATTCAAGGCTCTACTAATAATATCATTGGAATCGTGATCAACAACTTGTGAGACAAATATTGATGATGTCTCCTGCCATAGACAAAAGTAAATATTTTTAGAGACGTAGATACGAGATTCTTTTAGGTACAAAAAGCATCCACATGGCACAAGAATAATTATTTGTGCCATTAGTAAACTAGAAATTGTGACAACACTGAATATTTATAATGTATTTCGATGAGAAATTTTACAAATTTAAGTAAATTTAAATTTTTGGTATTTGAATTACTTTGATTTCAATTTCTATTATTCTTAAAATATTTTTTTGGATGAGTCAATTCAAATTTCTTAAATTTTAAATTATTAGGTTGAATATAATAATTTGATTCCATCATAGTAAAATTGATTTTAAAAATATATTTATATGTTGAGATTTTTAAATTAAATTTTATAAAAATAAATATTAATCCATTTTTAAATATTTAATAATTTTAAAAATTAATATTAGATAATATTTATTAATTTGAAAAATTAATATGATAATATTTAATAATTTTAAAAATATTTTTGAATATCTAATAATTAAAAGAATGAAGAGATAAGACAAAATATATAGGTGAAATAAGAAAAACAAATATGAGAAATTTCAAATTCTCCCATTTTTGAGAGAATTTGAAATTCTACTATTTTAAGAAATTTCATAAATGCTTGAATTTCAAATTCTTTGTAAATTTCTCGTCTAAACAAAACATTTCACCTCAAGGAATTTGAAATTCTTCAAATAAATGAATTACCCTATATAAATTTCTCATCCAAATACACCATTAAGGTACTCCACTTTGAGTAAAAGTTATACTTCCCTTTGAATAAAAGGCGTTTAACTAGTTCCTTGCTTGTGTAAAACTCTACACTAAAAGTAAATGAAAAATATCCTCTTAAGCGGAATACATTCCACATTCAATTTTAGTTGAAAATAGACTGCTATAAGTTGAAAAGGGAGTTCATTCATACCTCTAATGAAGGTAAATCAAGTTCTCCCTCACCGGAAAATTTACAACGTCTTGATGGAGTAGTAGCAGTAAGTTCTTGCCAAAAAAAAAAAAAGTATCTCAGAGTTCCATTCATCATAAAAATTAACACAGTTATAACTCAGAAAAGAAAACAAAGATCAAGAATTCGGGATAAATAACATAGTTACCAATTTTGGATAGCAATCAAAAATCAATAATGGATGACCACCACCATGCTGAAGATTTAAAACATGTTAAAATATTTTATACTACACATAAATGCTCAAATAAAAATAAAGCCCTATATGGTCTCAAGCAATCTCCCCAAACATGGTTTGTGAAATTTACTCGGGCTATGATATCCTTAGGGTACAATAAAAATATAAAATCAAGGTGATCATACTCTCTTCATAAAACATTCCCTGATGGTGGACTTACTCTTTTGATAGTCTATGTAGAGGACATGATAATTTCAGGTGATGAAACAGAGAAATTGGACCTCAAGGAGAAGTTACTCAATTTGAAATGAAGGAATTGTGTAAATTAAAGTATTTCCTTGAGATAGAGGTTGCCTATTCCAGAAAAGGTAACTTTATTTCCCACATGAATATTTGTTATCGATCTTCTCAAAGAAATGGGAATGTTGGGATGCAAGACATTAGGGTTAGGGTTACCCATTGAACAAAATCATAGGCTTGGAGGTGAAAAAAGTCAATCTGTCAAGAAGTTCCAATATCAGAGATTTGTGGGGAAATTGATATATTTATCTCACGCTGGGCCAAACATTACCTATGCAATGAGTATGGTCAGTCAATTTATGCATAACCCTTGTGAGAGGCACTTTTCAGACAGTTGAGAGGATTCTCTAATACTTGAAGACTACCTCAGGAAAAAGATTATTTTTTAAGAGAGTTCATTGTCCTTGGAGGTATACACAATGCTGACTATGCAGGGTCAATCTTTCACACTTCTTGGCGGGAATTTGGTGACAATGAGAAGAAAGAAGCAAGATAGAGTTGCTCAGTCTGGTGAAAAAACTCAGTTTTGATCTAAGGCCCATGGTATTTGTGAGGGGTTATGAATAAATATTATCCTTGGTGAACTTAAAGTTAAATATGAAGTTCATATAAGGCTATTTTGTGATAACATGTCAAATATCAACATTTCCCATAATCCAGTTCAGTATGATAGGTTGAAGCACATAGAGACAGACACACATTTTATCAAAGAGAAGTTGAATATCGGTATTATAACTACAGTTCAGGTACCTACCAGACTTCATTGGCACATGTTCTTACAAAAGGACTTCTTGTTGCTAGATTTCTAAAATGTGTTGGCAAGTTGGGAATGATAGATATCCATTTACTAACTTGAGAGGAAGTGTTGTAATTAGAGAAAAAAATTAGGAGAGATATTTTGGGGGCACATATATTGCATGATATCTTTGTATTTATTTTGTTATTCTTTCTTATTTGTTTCCTTATTTAGTCTTAGGCTTTGTGCTTTAACTAGGAGATTAAAGAATGTATCAACAACAATCAATATGAAAGTGTTTTTTTCCAATTTAATCTTAGGTGTTTTTATTCAAAGTAGCCAAAGACTTGGATCAACTAGTTGCACTGGGCAAGATGGCGGTACAACACCACTTTTCATGTCACTACAGGAGTTAGTCCTTTTCAAGCAGTCCATGGCAGGAAACCTACATTGGTCTAATTTGTTATTGGAGAAACAAAAGTAGAATTTGTTGAAAGGGAGCTTGTTGATAGGAATGAGGTGCTTAGGTAATTATGGTGTCGTCTACTGTGACCTCGGGAATATTAAGACAATAAAGTATGTAGATAGGAAAAGGAGTTTTCAATCCTATGAGGGAGATTGGGTCTTTCTCAAGCTAAGATCACATAGACAACAAAGTGTAGCACAAAGAATTAATCTCAAATTGGTTGTTCTGTTCGTTGGGCCCTAACAAATTAAACAGAAGATAGGGACAATAGCTCATCAATTAAAGTTTCCTCTATGATAAAAAACTCATCTTGTTTTTCATATTTAAGTCTTTATAAGGACTGTTTTTTTTTGTCTTTATTAATATTTTCCCCCCTCCTTCCTCCTAAAATGAAGAAATTGCTCGCAGCTAAAACAAATAGTTTCTAAGTATAGGAACTAAAAGGTAAAAATTGTGCAAGTATAGAGATCAAAATATAAAAAAGGTGAAAGTATAGAAAATAAAACGTAAAGTGTAACACATGTTAGTATCACATCAACGATATGTTAGTACTACATCATTCATCATTAACGACATTAACTTTTTTTGTTTTACTTGGATTAAAATGGATGACTTTCTAGTGTAGGGACTAAATAAATAATTAAATCTAATTTATTTAAAGTACAAAGAGAAAAAAAAATATAGCATTCCATGTTCTTGTAGGGCAACACATTCTTTTACCTATAGTGCTCAAGCATTTTGTATCCTGCTTCTTAGAGTAAGTAGTATGGGGATCAAGTGATTTATGATAGTTCTTTGCACATATTTCAGCCCAAACTTCATGAAAATCAGCACGACACCTTGCCCACTCATCCTGTTTCTGCTTCAAGCGGGTTAATATGACTGGCAAAACTAAAGATGCATTCTTCTTTAGCTCGTCAATTACTTCAAGCCCATGATCACCATATAGTCTCTCAATGCACCTGAGATTTAGAGCTAAAAGAACACGGGAAAAAAGTCATGTCAGAATATTGGAAACATCAAGAAAATGTACTTTGACAAATTTCATTTATCAATTGGAAAGCACATAACCTGTTAAGTGCTCCTCCACACGAATTGGACCATATCCTTCAATTATATTAGCATTTATCTTTTCTAAGATCTCTTCAACTCGTTTCATTGTCGCATTTACAGACTCTAACAACATATCAAGTTCAAACCTGCCAGCATCAGTTAAAAATTAAAATAATATCAGCAATGTGCAAGTGAAAGATAGCCAGTGGAAATCACATCTTTGAACATTATCCGGTGACGTCAAAACTAACCAAAAAGTATAAATATGACCACGACCAATAAAACATGAATCAATAAAATAGGTATTTTAAAGGAAAAATGAAAATCAATGGTATGCTCTAACCGGTCATCTTCACATCTAAACAAGCTCTCCTCATGCTGGTTTTTGTGCATGTGCTTAAAGGAATGGTTCTCACAGCCAGAACTAACAGAAACCCAGCGATCATTCAATACCTCTGCACCATGTTCTGTTTTCTGGCTGGCTGGCGGTATTGGGTACTTTGTGAGCACAAATAGTACATATAAGCACAATCAGCAAGAGAATCAAAGCAATTTCATTAGGACATACTAAAACAAAGGGACAAGTAAGCAACAATACATTTTTTGGTAGAAGACGGTAACTAGGAGTGCGTTGCTCAAAGTCAGAAAGGTCCAGCTCACTTATAGGTTTCACTGCATACTTATCCTTGCTGGCATACAGAGACATCTTAGGAACTGAAACATCTTTGTGAGTAGTTGCATTGGATTTGTCATTTTCTCTGCATTTGTGATCCCTTTTTTTCATCCTGTTATCCCTATCACTATCTTGATTCCAGTCTTCTACCATCATTGGTTTTGTTGGTCCATGTCCTTCATGCCAAAAGAAGTTTGATGAATAAATAACAGTCAGACTTTTTGGTCCAAACTCCAAAACACAAAGCTGAAAACGTTCCTGTGAGGCCTTACTACAACAAAGCAGAAAGGGGGATATATCACACGATAACAAAAAAAAGAAAGCATGTAACTTACTTTTATCCATGACACCAGCAAAGAATCCTTCTGCATGACAGTACTTGATTAGAAAGAATAAACACAAAAGCTAAACTTAGTAAAAAGTGAAATTTAGTCTGATGTTAAACATTACCATTCTTCTCACATTGTGTCAAAAATTCATTAAATCCCTCCAAAAGATCTGTGTATTTTCCCAGTAAATTGCACACCTAGAATCATAAACCAATAGATGTTAGCAATTATACATAGTATGCTACAAGAGAACAAACTTTGTCATGTAAAAAACATAGAAGACAGAGTCACATCAAACAGATTCCAAACGCAATTGAGTGAACCTCCACAACGAAGATAAGCCACTTAATAATATTTAACATTTCTTACACAACATTCTCTCTTTAAAGATTTTCAACTTGGAGAACAGTAGGAACTTGAATGTATTTGGAAAGCTCTTTCTAATACAGATCACTCAGCTTATTTATTGGAAAATTCATCAAGTCAAACCTTAGCAAATTATAAACAGTCGAGTTTGTGACATTGAAAATTAATCTTCTTTGATGATGCAAAGCTGTAGAGTTGCACAAGATTTCTGATTAATTCTTGGCTCACATTTAACATAGATACACAACAGCAGCAAGTCAAAAAGAAAAAGACCATCTCTGTCCAGTAAATAGTGTCAAAATTAAAACTATGTAAAAAAGCCAATGACCATTTCAGATATATCGTAAACCAATGTTTAATCTTGATCATTCATCCGGATATAGCTATGATGATTGGTTGCTCTCACTGTAATAATAATTCAAGCTTTTCTGAAGAAAAAAAGGCTTGGTACAAGATTGGTTCTATTTGCCTATAAGGCTATAACCAATTCTTCTTCATTTCTATGTTCTACCATCAAATTTTTTATTGAGGGACAATCTTCAATGTCAGCCAAATTATATTCAACTGTATTGATTTCAACAAAACCAGAAAAGAAGCTAACAAAAGTTAAAAGTATAAACCATACTGATGATTGCAATTCTTCTTTCATAATTATTTCCTTGCTGTAGATATGTAGGCACTTCAAAAATTCCTGGTAATCCTCAGGATTTCGTAATTTCTCCTTGACTTTTTCTAGGTAACCAAGCAGGGGACTACACATACCTGATATGACATGTTTTAAAAAGAATGAACAGTAAAGGGAAATAAGGAGTTAAAATTACTACCAAACAAACAAGAGAACACTAGCAAACATTAGGATTAGGATTCTTCTTGCAAGTAAAGCTTGGAATTTTTTTTACAATTTATATAGCTCAACAGCATAGATACCTCAATGTTAATTGGATTGTCACTTTCAATTATATTGGTGGTGATCTTCTCTATGAGCTCTTTAACTTGCTTAGTTGTTGATTTTGCAATCTCTATCACCATGTCAAGTTCAAACCTGCGTGTCATAGGGTATAATTATATCAGCGACAGCAAGTGCTAGTGATAGAGAGAGCATGTGGAAATAACAGGTAAATTAATTAAGCTACGCCAAAACTAATCAAACTGTGAAGTACAGCAATTATGACTGCATCTAATAAAAGATATATCAATAAGAAAAGTACTTAAAGGGAAAGAAAAATCATTGGTATGCTCAAACCTGTCATCTTCGCATTTAAACAAGATCTTTTCGTATGGATTTATGCTCTTGTGTTTGAAAGAAGAATCCTTAGTTCTTGAATTTACACATATCCAATGATCATTCAATACTTCTGCATCAAATTTTGTTCTCTGGCTAGAAGACGGTGTTTGGAACTGTATGAACATAAACAATACACATGAAACACAATCACCAAGAAAATCCCAGATATTCCCTTAGGAAATAAACAATATGGCAAAAAGATAAGCAAATCAACTATACCTCTTTTGGTAGAAGGTAGTAACTTGGAGTGCCCTGTTCACAGATAGATACATCCAGCTCCATAACAGATTTTGCAGAATAGTTCTTCTTATTGGCATATAGAGACAACTTAGGACCAGAAACATTCTTGTTGACAACTGCACTAGATTTGTCCCATTTTCGGCATTCACCAATCATTTCCTTTACCCGATCATCACTATCATGATGTCGTTCTTTGTCCCAATCTTCCACCTTCAATCGTTTCGGCCCATGTTCTTCATCCCAAGAGGATTCTGAAGCTGATAGATACATACAAAAGTTTTAGTACCAGAAGATGTAGCTGAAAATGTTAATATTTGCCCATGTTACCTGAAAGTAAAATGTGAGCATCACCAGAAGACAAAAAGAAGATAAAAACATGTTACATAACTTGAAAAAATAACAAAAAAATATTCAGACAGACAAAATATTGGGTTGAAAATTACCTTTCATCTTCTCACATGGGGTTACACATTCATTAAATCCCTTCATGAGATCTGGGGATTTTTCTAGGAAATCAGTCACCTGGAAGAAGCAACCACACATTAGTTATTGTATATCATGGTTTGTCTTCTAGAAAAAATTTCCTCTGCATAAAATTAAAGAAAATCAAGCCCACCTGTTACTTGATTCAATGGAGTAAATTTCTACTATCTCCCAGCAGATAATTTTGTGCAAAAAATTATTCAACACTTTCTATGCTACATTCACTATTTGATTTTTAGCCTAGAAGATTTAGAAATGATCTTCATGAAAGGACAAAATACATTAAAATTTGTTATTTCATTTCTAGCTATTTGAATTTTCAAATTCAGTTTCAATTAATCCAAAGCTTAGGAAAGTATAAAGTTGAAGTAATTTAACAAGGCAATGAAAATAGATCCTTGAAGATGGATAAATATGGTTTTTCCCAAAATTTGTTCTTATATAATACTGGACAAATCATGCAGGTAACAGAAAAATTAGAGTGAATAAAGAGTGAAGAACCACAAGTTCTTTGTCATGTAAGTGATTAAAATTGAAAGTTCGTTAAAAAGCCAACGCTCATTTAAGAAACAATATAACTCATTGCTGAATCTTAACATTCACCCCTAATATAGCCGTTATGATTACTTCCTCTTATGAGAGAGATGGACACGTTTAAACATGCATGCATGACCTTATCATGATAAAATTTGCATTAGAGGAGCCATTTTCCACTCTAAAATTGTTACTCCTTTCATGAAACAAGCTCAGTTTTATGCAGCAATTTTTAAGGTCAAAGTTCAATGCCAACCAAATTAAATTTAACCATATAGACATGGAATATGAGAATAAAACCAATAAAGCAGCTAATAAACATTATATGAATAAAACTTACCGACGACTGCAATTTTTGTTGAGTAGTTTTTTCCTTGCTCTGGACATCCACATTCTTAGAAAAGCAATTCTTATGATTTTGTAATTTTTCATTGCCTTTTGCACAGACAAGAAACTCTTCACTACCTGAGATGATCAGATGACAAAATTAAATTAAAAGAAATTGTAAAAGGGAGATAGGGAGTTAAAGGTATACTGTCCAAAAAGGACTTGCAAAATAACGATAGAATGAAGGTTTTTCCTTTAATAAAAATATTGAAAATTAGATAATGACTTATCCAGTGTTGTGCTTTTTTCTCTTTTTCCTTTCATTTATTACTTACATGAAAAAGATACTGAGACATAAATTTATGTTCCAAAGCTAAAACATTGTTTGTCATAAGTTTGTAACATCTGTTGATGGTAAGAAAACATAAAAAATAAAAAATATAAAAAGTAGGTCTGGATCAGAAGTATTGGCACACTTACTTTTCATAGAAGTTTTATGATAACATGTGGATGACATCGGGTCCATGCCAAAAATTTTATCAGCATTACAAAATGGTTCAGCCCTAGGGTCTTCAGCCATACAACTAGAACTGCCTTTCAGTACAAGCCTCTGGATACCATCTTGATAATAAATTCTATTCTCCTTTTCCCCTTCACTCCAATCTCTATCTGATCTATCATCAACACTGTATTGGTGATCATCATATGTAGTTTTTGTAAGCTTTCTCTGGCAAGTAGATGAGAGAAATTTCAGCTTCATGACCAACTATAAATTCAAAGAGACATAAAAATATTGAGATAGATAAACCTTGCGAGCATGCCCTTGTTTCCCTTTTGGCACGGCAGAGCTCCTTTCACGAAACACAGAATTTTGACCATGAACAATATGAATAGAGTCTGTTTTTGAAGTATTAATAGATAAACGAGATAACCCATTAAGAAGATCCACAGAGTTCTGAAGAAGTTCAGTGATCTGGAGATGTCCAATATATAATTAAAATGAATGTCTTGAGCAATTTAAAACTCTCATACAATATCAAGATAACAAAGTCATAAACAGTTCAAACCTCCTTGTAAGCTGTGGTGAGAGTCTTATTGCCGATTCTGAACATCCTCAATACAGCTAGAAACGACTCATAAACATGATCTTGGCCTTGTATGGTCAAGTGGACCCCTTTCTTTGGCTGTTGAAAGTGTCAAGTGGACTCCTGCTCTTTATGATGCCAAGTGAGTGTGATTGAATGGTCGATCCAACACATTTTCCTTCAACTGTCGAAGGGGTATGGCCGAATTGCCTAACTCGTACAATTTTTAAAAAAAGAATTAAAAATAAATATTTTATAAATTTAGAAAACTAAAATCAATAATATTTTTTTTTAAGATTAAATTCAATTAGAATCAATTTTTTTAGGACTGAAAAAAATATTTAACTCATTTTATAAACTGGTCTCATAGAAAAATCAGTTACGTTCTCTCCAACTGTAGAAGTAGAACAACATAAGAACGATTCTTACTCTTAAGAACCCAATTAACAATCATGCTTCTAAAGATGCTCTTAGAAGCCTTAATATTAAAAGTTAACAAGATCCGAATGTTCAAGCTGTTTTCGACTAGAGAAAAAATTACTCTTCATTTAAAATATACAGTTACAAAAATCATGATAACTACGTAACTTTTTTGACAAAAAACCAACAGCCTAGAAAAAATAATTGTTTTTCCATAACTTGAAAATAAGTTAATGAAATAATAAATCAAGCAAAAACATTCATGACCTTAGTACTCATGCTTTTTTGAACCTACTGGAAGCTACGATAATCAAGTGATTTGTAATAGTTCTCAGCATATACTTCGGCACAAATCTTATTAAAATCTGCACGAAAACTTCTCCACTCTTTCCGTTTCTGCTTCAATCTGGTTAAAATGACTGGCAAAACTTGAGATGCATTCTTCCTTGCTGCATCCAGCATATTAAGCCCTTGGTCGCCATATAAACGCTCAATGTACCTAAGATTTTGAGCTAAAAGAAAAGACAAAAACAATCCGATCTTAATATAGAAAAACATCAACAAATATCTGACACAGCAGAACGTGTTTTAGAACATTTCTTTGATCAATTGAAAATCTCATAACCTGTAAAGTGGTGCTCAATGTTAATTGGATTGTCACTTTCAATTATATTGGTGGTGATCTTCTCTATGAGCTCTTTAACTTGCTTAGTTGTTGATTTTGCAATCTCTATCACCATGTCAAGTTCAAACCTGCGTGTCATAGGGTATAATTATATCAGCGACAGCAAGTGCTAGTGATAGAGAGAGCATGTGGAAATAAAATAATAATATCCCATAAATTTTGGGATTTCTATCCAACAATACTAAATAAAAAACACATAGCAATTCTCAATTTTAGATAATCCAATAAAAAAGATATCATATTGTCTTTTACACCAATTATGTATAAGTGGCAGAAAAACGAAGACAATTTTTTCATTATATAATTACTTTTCAAGTGTTATTGATTTTCTTCTTTTTTAAATGAGATTGAAATAAATGCTTCTAATAGGAACCTTGGGAGAATCACACCACAAAAGCTAGCTATTATATTTGAAGAACCCAAAACCTTATAAATCCCACACTAGAATCTCGTACTTGCAATGTGCTATTCAAATCCTATATCTTGTAATTGGATCCTAATAGTTTCCAACGCTAAAACATGAATTCATGTTCATAATTTTTTTTGAGAAGGTAAAAACATTTCTAAACTTAAAATCAAAAGTATTAAAATACTCACTTTTCAAATAACTTATATCCTCAGAGGCAGATGTGATAGGCTGCATGCCAAAATTTTCATCAGTATCATGCAACTGTTCAGCACCAGAGTCTTCGGCCCTACAACCAGATTTCTGCTTGTGAGATAAACACTCCCTACTACCATCATTATCACAATCTCTATCATCCCTTTCCTGCTGTCTCTTAACTCTCTCTTCTCTACGATCCTTTTCCTTCACATCATGCCTCCTCTGATCTTTATCAGCCTTCACCAAACACCTGCCAACTTCTGGATCACGATGGTCAGCATTGAGGTCACGATCACCATGTGAAGTTATGGTCCTTTCTCTCTGGCATAAAGATAAGTTAAACGTTAGTTTAATGACCAACTATATAATAAAAGGGACATAGGGAATACAGAGAGAGATAAACCTTTTCAACATGCATTTGCCTCACTATTGGCATTGCAGAGCTCCTGCGACAAAAGAGAGAATTTTGAGTAGAGGCTGTTCCTGAATTATCAGGAAGAAAATGAGTAAATTCCTCAAGAAGATCTGCATGGTCCTGGAAAATTCCAGCAACCTAGAGAAGTCCAATATATTGTTCAAATGAGTCTCTAAAGAACGATAATGCCTCCTAGAGGAGAAAAAGAAAAAACAAAAACCAAAATAATAAATTTGCCTAACTGTAACTTGATAACATAGGCATAGACACTAGAAATCACAGACCTCCTGGTAAACCTCAGAGATAGGCTTGGTTTCCTTTCTGTACATATTTAATATGTCATAAAATGACTTACAAACATGGTCATTGCCTTGAAAACGAGTCTGTATGAAAGGAACCCAATCAATCTGATATGTATTGGAAGACAAATAATATGTATCAACTATTAAATAAAAAAATACTTTAATCTTGCCCACAAAATTTATGGCTTCCTCAAATTCAACGGGCTTCTTTTGGGGAGGATGTTCATCCTCCAATGAAAGGGTAATTTCATGTCCCTTTGGCAAGAAGGTGTTAAATCCCAATATTAGATCTTTCTTCCCTTTAAACAGCTCCTTGACTCTTGTTGTGACACCTGTTATATCAATTCTACAAATGAACAAGAGATAAACAAATCAATTTCAGGTAACAAAATCCACATCCTCACTTCTAAGAGAATATAACAGAAAAAGCAAAAGAAAAATCTAGGAGTTGTGAGAATATAGTACAAGTTGTACAACATGTTCAAACCTTTGAAACTTGAAATCCTTCATGACTTCGAGAAAGTCATCATATTTTTCCCCCTTATCTTGGAACATGTACTTTACTGCCTTAAGATATGCCAAGGCATCATCTGTGGCTTGTTTCTGAGAGACACCCCTGGTCATCTGTGGTTGCTCCGAGCTTCATTACATAAAATTTCAAAAAATTATTCAGACCTTTGGAAGTATTTCACACTATCACTCCATTCAAACACAAGTCAACAGAAGAATGCTGAATCTAGCAGAAGTTTAGAGTAGCTACTATGAGAAGACAAGATTGAATCTCAATTGCACTCATACTTCATAAACTGCATACACTTGAGCTGCTGCTTTGGTTTTACAATATTTTGTTCCTCTTATTTTTATTTTGTTTATCTTGTTAAAGTCTACGGAACATGGCAGTCATAAATGAATTGAATGTACAAAACTAGAGAATTTAACTCATAGGTTTCAATTACACCAAGGTCTTACGGATAGTAAAGATTACACACAAAATTAACTTGTAAAGTAATGCAGATAAATTGAGACATTACAGAATAATCTTCCAGCAAAGACTATCTCACCAAGTCAAACCTAAAAAGGACAAGAAAAAAAAAACGATTGTAGATGCACAACAGATGAAAAATACCAAACAACCATCGCAGTACAATAAAACTGAAGATGCAAATGTTTCACCAACCAAGAAAATAAAAATTTAGAAGAAACAGAACAATCCACGAAACAAGATATTGAAGACAAAAAAAGGGAAAAAAAATGAACTTACGGTTCTACTCTGAAAGACACCATGGGCGGTTTGTGTTGTGAATTCGGGTAAACATTATCCCTGGACCTTTTCATTCCTAACAATAACAACATAAATCAACAAACGTAAAATTCAAGCCCTCAAATTATGCTTTCAAACTGAGATTTTAGAATTTAAGCTTAGGCCTAATTCAACCCGAAAAAAATTCTTGTAAGATAAGGTGAGGTTGCCCTCAACTCATGTGGGATCTCAAAAACATCGGTTTCACACCACAACTTAGCATGAAGTTTTCAAAAATTAACTTGGTGGTCCAATGCCTATCTCATAGCAGATGATCTGATAACAACAGTCTGATAGTAGATGGTCTGATAAGATTAACAACATTCGATGCAATAGATTATCTTAGAATTTAAGTTTGGCCTAATTCAAACCAACAAAAATGGTTTTTAAGGTAATGATTTCCCCATTTACTTTTTGTGGGATCTCAAACACAGATCAAATTGAAAGTCCTAGAAATACAAATTGCACATTTGAACAAAATCAACAAGCACTAATAGATATAAAAAAAAAAAAAAAAAGGGAATTCACAAACCCAATCCTATCTAACAGACTCAGCAAGCAAAATTTGCATTACTTTGATGCAAAGCAACGTGACGATAATTTGCAGCACAAAAGAGCAGGTTTAAACCCAATTTTAAAAGTGAAGGGTTCACAATGTGATACTTATATAGGTTAGGGGTGGAAACAAGTTGGGCCTTGACAAATTCATAAGGCTGGATATTTCTTACTGCACCCGTAGTTTTGTCTCATAAACCCGTCATTTTAAAAAATTTCCTAAAGTACCCTTACTTCGATGGTACCTCTCTGGAATACATATTCCGAATATGTTTTTATTTCTCCGGAACAGCCGGATTACATAATCCAAAACAAATTTTATAGTTCGATTGTTCCAGTCAGTTTGCCAGCATTGTTTCTTACGGACATATGGACTTTGTGGAGAATGATAGAGGTAAAAGCCCCAAATATGAATCCGATGATTAAATCTCTTGCCTTATCCTTGTTGGGTGGAAGAAAGGTTTGATGTATGTTGTTGCTGAAATATCAAAACGTCCCAAATCAAATCCATCCAGATGTCATAGTAGTGTGGCAGCAAAGCCACCATTTTTCTTATTTGGGAATATCCTATAGACCATCGTGAACTATGTCTCAGTTATTATATGCTATTGAACTTAAATTTGTGAATGCTCCTTTCTGCTTTAGATAGAATAGAAGGTTACATAAATGTTGGAAAAATAATTTAAATTTTTAAATTCAAATCTCTTAAGATATTATTTAAATTTTAAAAGATATTGATTCTTTTAGAATATTGTTTAGAATTAAAATATATTGTATTTATTTTAGAGATTTATTTTAAAAAAAAAATAGTGATGTAAGGTTAATAAATAAAGACTCTTGAGATGAGAAGAACCACCCAACTTGTAGAGGGGGTCACCGCCTGAAATGAGAGAGACGGTCACCGCCAAATGAGATAGGAGGTCATATAAAAGAGGGTTTCTAAGTTTCGCCAGAAAACTTGTGAATGATGGTTTTCAAGTTTTCCCAGAAAACTTGTGAAGAAAGAATTTTCAAGTTTCACCCATAAAACTTATGAGGAATGAATTTTAAAATTTAACCCACAAAACTTGAAGGGAGGATTTTCAAATATATGTAATACATTTAAAATAAATAATGAACATCCTTGTAAACGTAGGAATGAGGGGTTGAACCACGTTAAATAAATTTGTGTGATCTTTTTCTAGTTCTTTTATGGTGTTATTTTTATATGTTTTTCATCGTCATTATTGTGCGTAAAAAAAAAGAAGATTTTTTGTTCCTAACAATAAAACTCCATAAGGACATTCTTTTGTTATTGCCGCGGATTGAATCTTATCACACTAGTGTGCTGAAGGCAATTTCACCAAATGATTTAAATTAAGATTATAAGTAGGTCGGGTTGGACTGAATCTGGATAAATATGTTACATGATGCAATCAAAATTTAATGAGTTGGATTTGTGCATCTTTTAAAAGTCAATCCAATCTAATCTAATTACGAACGGATTGGATTGAGTTAGATTAATCGGGTTAACATAATTATATTTATTATTTTTTATAAAAATTTAATTATTTCAAAATAGATATAAATTATTTGATATATCGTTGCAAATTAAATGTTATCAACCCATAAAGCAAACAATGATACAAATTAAATTTTAAAACAAATTTATTAATTTGTTACATTATTATTAAATTAAAAAATTAACATTAATTAATAAAAAATAAAATTTAAAATAAATATATTATATTGTTATAATGCTATCAACTTAAAATGTAAAACTTGTTACTAAGTAAGAGTCACACTGAGTATTGTTCTCAGCAAATAATAATAATAATAATAATAATAATAATTATTATTATTATTATTATTATAATAATAATATATGATCGGGTTGAGTTGGGTCGATAACGGGTTGAAAACACAAACCCGTTACCTGATCCGTACAATGTTAGATTTTGATCAGATTGAGTTGAATTTGACTCGAACAATGAAAAAATTCAATTCGAACTCATTAGGTTGATTTGAGTCGGTTTTGGTTTGTGAGTTACCTGTACCCATTTACACCCCTAATTTAAATAACCAAAATATAATCCTAGGATATTATACACATATTTTAGGTTTTATATTTGAGTTAATCACTTATATAATACCAATATAAAGTTTTTTACACTGACAACCAATTATATCTTTTAATTGTGCCATGTCACTATAAACACATTTACTTTTAACAGTGACATGGCACAATTAAAAGATATAATTAGTTATTAGTGTAAAAAAAATTTACAATGGCAATGTATAAGTGATTAACTCTTTATATTTAAGTTCTTCAACCATAATATTTTGAGTAAATTATATGGATGACAAAATAATCATTTACTCATGGGTAATGTAAGCATTTGTTCCAACTTTGATAAAAAATATTCAATTTGATATATAGATATGGGTAATATCTAATTTAATAAATTATGTATGAAGATAGGGATGAGTATATATTTATTTTATAATTGTTAGTCTATGTTGGAATTTTTGTTTTTTTTATTTATACTTTTTTGGCAAAATAAAAAATATTTAATTAATTTTTAAACAAATATGAGTATACTCAATATCTGATAAGATTAGAATTAGACACAAGTTTCATATTTGTCAAGTATGACGACATGAATAAGTATAAGATATGAACTTGAGAATGGGATAGTGAAATATGCACCTGTTCTGCCCTACTGTCATCCCTAGTAAATTATGTTATCTTAATAGTAAAGATATAATACTATCCTCCATCTTATTTAAATATAAAATTTAATCTATTTAATTTAAACATCTAAATTATATTCCTTCCTTGAGATATGTAAATATTACATTATTTTTTCTTCATATGTTAAAAATAGAATAAATTATATTTTTATCTTTTAGAGATATAAATATTATATCATCAAACTCCTATTATATTAAAACTAACAAAATAAAAACACTTCATACCTTGTGAGTATTATGCGTGTAAAAATTATAAAACTGTAGAGATGTCGGAATTTATTAAAGAAAAAATCATTTTAAATAAATAAAATCATTGAATTATCCTATATTAAAAGAAAAAGGTGTGCAGTCACTAAAATAAATAAATGATAAAAATATCTTAAAAATATGTATGCAAAATTATTGTATCGCATTTATTTATTGTTATAGATATATAATTTAGAATATTTAAGATAAGATCTTAAAAAATATTTATTATAAATTCTAAAATATACTTTTAATTAAATATATGTTAAAATATTTTTAGTTCATTTCCATTTATTCACTTGACAAAAAATATAATATATAATTAAATTTAAAGAAATTTATTAAAATAATAATAATAAATTATTAGACAAGGTTTCTGACATTTAGGATTTAGGCATCTCACACACTGAGTGTACTTTTTTACGTATGTTCGATCAATCTAATTTTTTGTTTCTCTCTTACTTAGCTTCATCTCTTTGATATGTTCTTCTTCACTTCCACAAATTCATCTCTCTAATATGGTTTGCTTGTGGTTGTGGTGAGAGGTAACACAAACCATGTGATGTTGCCTTGGTTCAAATTCGAGGGTATAACGTCTTTGGAACTTCTTCATCTCTTAGTATCTCAGAATCACACTGGAGTTTCATGTTCACGATTGGAAACACTATTGTTTGTGGTGCATGCTTAAACCTGTTGCAATCCACCCGACAAACTCGCAATCTGTCGAGTTAAAAATCCTGATCGACTGAGTGGCACTACGGTCGGAAACGTTTCCAAAATAGAGTATTCGGTTTTGGTCGGATTATACAACTTTTATATTTTTAATATTTTTAAGTTCTTTAAAATTATACAACTTTTATAACAGTTTTATAAAATAATAAAAAAAATGGAATGAAAATTTAATTTTTAATTAATACTAATATTTTTCATATAGTATATAAATTCCTTTCCACTTTCTTTTCTACTCATCCAAACTGATGAAAAGAAAATTTTTCAATCATTTCTTTTTTATTCTATTCTTCCAACCAATACACCTTTTGCACTATGTTTCTCTTTTATTTTCATCTTTCTTATTTTTTTTTCCTTAATTCATTCCTCTCTATTTCACTTGTAATCCAAACAAAGAGTTAGAGAAAAGGAAATAGATTAGTGTGATCTTGTTAGGAGGTGTAATGAAAAAAAAAAAGGAATTCTTAAGCAAGTGGGTGAAAAAGTAATAGAAACACGGAATTTTCTGTGTTTATTTTGTGGGTGAATATTAGGGTTTAGAAACCCTAATATTAGTGTTTATTTTTTATTCTGCGTTTTTTTTTTTGCGTATATGTCAGGGTTTCTAGGTTTTTTTTGTTATACTTCATCAGATGTTTCACTTGATTGTATTTTGGGGCTTGTTGGTTGTTACTTCCCCTCGTTTCTGTTAATTTTCCCAAAAAGTTGTTTCTTTTAAATTTTAAAAAGGTTAAATATGTTTTTTGATCCTTTAAAAATTAACTCTATTTAATTTTAATCCTTAAAAAAAGTTTTTTATTTTATTTTTCTAAATTGATATAATATCTATTTTATTTTAATCTTTTCAAACACTGTTAAAAATTTAAAATAAATTATCTCAATATCCAAATCATCATAATTTTTATTGACATAAATTTTTTTAATTTAGAATATTAATTATTTTAAGATTAAGTTAAGATTTATGATAAAAATTAATTTTATATTTAAATTTTTTTACTATTCACTCTCGCATTCAAGCATGAAAGTTCTAAAAATACTATATTTTATTTTATTTTCTTTATTTTGCTTTCACCCTCAGCAAAAAGAAATCAGGGGCCTCTCGATTCTCAAAGACAATAACTTAAAGCTTAAGGAGGGAGAAGAATGAGTGTTATTTAGAGTAATTAGCATGTTGGGAGCTTCGAGAGCCACTTAAGGTGAAACAATGTCATTAAAAATTAAGAATTTGGAGTTTAAAGAGTTGTCGAAGAAGGCATAAAACAAAAAGTTTATGAACAAGATAATGATGGTGGAGAAAAAAAATATTGCTTTGAGTTTGTGAGAAAATTTTATTAAAATTTGATGGGAGACTCTTTATTTAAGTAAAAAAGAAATTATTAAAACCTCCATATTTGTGTTTAAGGATGAATAGTAAACAGTTTTTAATGTAAATTAGTTTTTACTCTAAATCTTAACTTAATCCTAAAATAAATAATATTTTAAATTAAAAAAATTTTATGCGAGTAAAATTAATGATAATTTAGATCTTGAATTGACCTATTTTAACAACAAAGATTAAAAATATTTATGTATCTATCCGAGGGCACATTAGTAATCTTCTCATAATCCGAGAGTCGAAGGAGAGCTCCAAGTCGAAATATAGAAGGGGGAGATACTTGCAAAAGACACTCTTACACTCAAGTCAGAACAAACATGAATATCGATAATAATAAATGAACAGTAACTTTTATCTCAAGATACAAACTACTTGTACTGACATTAATGGACCCAACTCTCAATGGACCTTGCATTAGGGTTGCAAATTAGATAATACGTCGATAATTGGTTTACTCGTCTAATTAACCCTTAATCAC